ATGGCTCAAAATGGGCGCGAAATAGTAACAGGTAAGGCAACAAAATTTAGATGTTAGCTCTGGAGCACCGCCATACTCAGCCGTGTTGGGGGCATCTCTCGCGAGTCAATACGGCAAAGGTATTGCGCGTCGAACTGTACGTGAGAGTTATCCATTTCAGCGAAACCTTGATTTCGCAAAACTATTGTGGCTCGAGTCGTGGCTTCCAGTACTTGAAAGCCACGAGCGAGAAATAAATGACAGTTGATTTTGAAGGACAATCGCGACGTGGAAACCCATAAAAGAGAGTTCCAATAAGACGAGAGCTTCCCCTTCTCTTCAAGTGCGTGGGTTACGCTCTCAATCCTGCACCTGTGGTAACACCGCAGGCTCCTAAAATGGCTTTGAAGACGTTCCTGATCGCAACAACTTTTTTTTTTTTTTTTGTCGAGGCGCTATTTCATTTTTTTTACTTTTTGTCTACCTTGATACCCCATCAGCGCAAAAACTACCATAAAATAAAAAAAAAAAAAAATAGTGGGCATACAACGACAACGCACCCACTGGGACCCGAGTCAAGGCAAGAACAACTGACTACTAAAAGGGGAAAAAAATCATGTTCGCATACACAGACAGAACGCCTCCATCGAAAGAAATGAATCATGCGCTTGTTCTGCCAGTCTCGTTGTGCGTCTGTCAAAAGCCACAAAGGAGGAAGACAATCAGCGCCTACACCACTCCCCTCCACTCCCCCCCCACCACCCCTAAAAAGAAGAAAAAGGTTTCTTGGGCGCGCGCGCGGTCGCCCAAGCGATGACCTTGGAAGGGTATGCGATTGTAGCACGTTTGTCCCCCGGTTGTGCCCCTGTCTCAAATGCCACGGTCCGTTTCTCCCAAGTGCCCGTCTTATCTTCCCGAGTATCAACTCCGCAGTGATTCTGAATCATTCCGATGCTTTCCAACGTTGCAAAACTGTTAGACGAATATTTGCACAGAAGTATAATCTGTTCGCAGAACTATCTACGGCGCTAAAATTCAAAAGCGCCGAGTTGGATTGGGGAACTCGTGTAGGTTTAGCTCATCGTTGGAACATTCTTATTCGCTCGATGAACTCCACAAAACGTGTAAATATTAGAATGAACTTTCCAGAGAACGAGAGTTGTTGTCGGGGTTCCAGGCGACCGGACAGGTCGTAATTATTGGCTGATTTTATTTCATAATTTCAAAATTTTATTTCATAATCACAATCGTATCATCCTCATCACTTCTTCTACGAAAAGAGTTGCTGTATTCGTAGCACACACAGACGGAAACGGTTGAGACTGCCCAAATAATATCTTCTTTTGGCAGGTACTGCGCAGCGATTACACACAATGCCTCTAACATAAACATGCTGCTCCACATGTCTATTCACAAGATGCAATACATCGTTCTCCCAACTTTGTTGAAATGGGCATGAAAGCGCGTAACCGTCACTTTTTTGAAGTTCTACTTAGAGGTGAAGTGTTTACCGTAAAAAGTCGTTAATTATTTATTTTTTTCCGTTTACTACAAAGCTCGATTCCCTTAAATTTTTGTTTTTATATCGTCTCTACAGCGCTTTTACGTCGGTACTTTCGTGTTAGAGGACATCACATAATGTGCGAAAAAAACAACAAAAAAACGGTAGGATCGATGCTGCATAGCCTTTTTTTTTTTTTGTGGACATCAAGAAAAAAAAAAAAAGATAGTAGTTGTCTTCACTTCGCACTGCATGTTTTGGCACGGAAGTTCCTATTTGGTTATGATGTCTTTACTTTCTTAAAAATTATATACAGTAATTTAAATTACCGAATTACAAAAACGTCGAAATTGTATAATTGCTTTTCGTTGGGAAGCCATGACGACAGCGACACTCGTGTTCCCTCGTGGTTTTCGCCAGCATTTCTACGATGAATTGCCAGGATCGCGAGATGCAACAGCGTGACACTCCGTCTTCTGTGACGTCATTTGTTGCACTTCGGGACAACTTTTGATGTATGGCCAGCATAAGACGCTAACCACACCAGTCGGAGATGCGCTGCAGGTGCCATAGTACTGCTCGTAAAAGTAGCTGTCACGTGCTTTGCTCCGCGACTGAGGGTTGCCAAATTACGGTGAAACGGAGTATAGACAAAACAGACTGGACGACATTTACCGGGCATCTTTAGAGCTGCGAAGCTCAAAATCACGCGTACTCGTAAGATTTTTTTTTTCTCGCGTGTTTGTGATTTTTATGATGTCCTGCAAGCAAGAAAAAAATATATATGGTGAAGTCACTCCGAGGGGGTAGCGATAACTGCGAGCCACGAACATGAAGGACTCGCTAACATCCGTCAGGAGTGTGAACGGTAAATCGTCACGCAAACATATTCTCACAAGCTGCAAATATTTATTTGGCTTAGCAAGTAGAATACTAGTATACTAACGACATGTGATTATTGTACACAAGATACCATTTCTCGGTTCTTCAAAACCATTTCCCAAGTCTGAACGGTCGAGCTACGGGCCGCGGTTAGCCGTGCCCTCGATAGACTACGGAGCTGCGTTGTGTCGTCTGCTACTATACCGCCAACAGGAGAGCGATAGCTCTGTGTGTTCCACAGATGCGTGTTGCGGTATAACTCTGTACGTCTGTCCTAGAGGAAGACAAAGAGATAGGCTCTGTGACCCCCTCCTAAGCTAACAAAAACAAACAGAAGTATACTCGTTTGGACTGAAAGGTTTACAAAATAGTGACCAGACATTGGAAAAGCATATGTCACAGAACTTGGTTTATGAAATGGCATCATTGTTTCGAGCAAGAAATCACCTGCTCACCACTGGGACGATGAAATCGTCACTATTTATTGCGTCAGGTATATTTGCGCTCATGAAGAAAAATCTGAACACATCCTTCTCCCAAAATCCTATGTCGAATAATAAACACTTTTTTAAACATCTATGCACAAATAACTCATTTTTTTCTACACTTGTATATGCACGTTAATTGACGTCAAACCGCATTTTTGATTAGATCTTGATGTCTACACCAACTACATTCATATTTTTTAGGGCTTTATTGAACGATAACTTCAACTATAGTTAATGGAACACGATGGCTCGATCTCGACAAAAACCTCAACGTGCGAAGCTTCCACAGACGGTCGCTAGCGAGTATTCTCAATGTGAGACTTCAGAAGCTTTCGCTTGCCATAGGGAGCTTGCTTTCGACTACAGCACTGCACGGGCCCGGAAAGCGCTGCTGTGTGGAGAGGTTGACTTACAAGATGACGTGTTACGTGGTCACGTAAGATGGCGTCATTTCGTGCAGCGTGATCACGTAAGATGACGTCATTTCGTGTAACGAGATCATGTAAGATGACGTGTTTGTGTCACGTCATCACGTAAGATGACGTCAGTTCGTATGAACTGACGTCATCTTACGACAACGCCAACAACATTAGTGCCGTCCGGAACCATTGACCTTAGAAACGCGCTTCTTCGCTTGAAGAGCTGATATGCGTTGATTGTTATTTGTTTCTTTTGCCTACTACAGACCATTCAAGAACTCGCCTTCTGGGTGCCACCAACTTCGTCTACTGGGCTGTAAAGCGCGTTCGAGCGTGCGCAATACCTCTCTAGGCCGAAAGATTGTACACTGAGTATGCGTTCACAGCTCAATGACTTTGGCATTTTTCGTCAGGATAGATGCTCCCACGAGAAGAGCGTAATGGATATGTGAATAGAATTGGAAATTTGAAATGTTCTTGTCCAATCGCATTTTTCTTTGGTTATCAACGCTTTTTAGCGTCATCACAAGACGTTCAACCCATAATACACTGGTGATTAAAAAATAAGCACCGAAAAACATGCACCGATTTTCGCTCAAAAATAAACACCGGAAAAAAACATACCGTAATCATTACCCATGTCACCTTTTTGGGTGATATGTGAATTTCCAGAAGAACAGCGAGTTATCACCCTCCCCTAGGAATACCCTGACTACAGAGCAGGCGACCCGTTTTTCCCCGCGTTAGATTGTGGTGACCACGAACCGTACGGAGGTCACAGGACGTCCGTGAAAAATAAAAAGGAGGCAAACAACGATCTACTCTGTGCACGCTTCATCCCCAATTTCCACGACCCCAAGGCCGAAGGACGTTTGTGTGAAGGATAACGATAAAATAAAACTTTGCGTCAAAAAAAAAAAAAGTAGAAACAAGCACAACGCGTTGACGGACCGCGAGGTTGTGGAACACCTCGCGGTCCGCTTGCCTCAGGACGGTTGTCTTCGACCCATAGCTCCAAGGTGAATTTGCCACTTGCGAAAACACGGAGACCTACCCAGCGAGAACCAGGAAAGCAAGACACGCACACTGACGCCTCGGCGTGCAGAATGAAACAGGATACGGGCGCGGAATACGGCCGCGGAAGAACACCTCGCACAGTGCCGATCCGGCCGATCTCCGAACGGACGATTTCGCATTTCGTGGACAGCGAGCGCCACCGCACGGGAGAGAGAGGTACCTTAAAAACGACGAAAACAAGCACCGACACCTTGGTTCTTTATATTTGCTGTAGTTACGGAACAAATAGACTTACATGAATAATTTGAATATTATTCGATTCCGTAATAAATTTAGAAGACATTAAACGCAATTCTTCTTATGTTTGAATTTAGATAATTTTGTAAATTCGCTCCGAACGCAAGAGTGCCGAATTAGCCGATTTTGACCATTTTCATGATTTTTTTAAAGAATATAATTAAATTTATGACGAAACATCTGTTGCGTTTAGTGTCTCGATAATGACTCAATGTCTTTAAAGCCGAAATTTTCAAGAAGATCCGCGCAGCCGTTATTATGTGAGAATTTTTTTAATTTGGTGAAAAACCTCATGTATTCTCTATGGGGCTCTGAGGTGCGCCCCCTCTTAAGCGTTCCGTTGCAATGCGACGAGTCTGGCTCGGCAGGAGGCCCGGCGACGTGTCTGATGTGCGCGTCCCTTGCTGTCGCTCCCAGGCTACCCGGTGGAATGGCCGCACTGGCAGAAACTGCACGCAATCCTGGGCAAGCGTCCTGTGCCTCACTCGTGGAACAACTACTACGACGACGAAAGGACCTCAGAGAGCAGGATCGTCCGCAGCGAGAACGGCAGCATGCACTACGACGGCGAGTGATCCCTCCTTCTTCCGCAAAACGCTCGGGGTTAGCGTAATGCTGGTCGCTTGACCGCAAGCTGAGACGTCTAGAGCTGTTAGCGTGGGTCTAGAGTTTGAACATGGTACCCTAAAGCCCAGGTTTTTTTGTTTTTTTTTTCTCTCAGTGATGTGATTGCTGCGTCATTAGCACCAAACTGCACTAAAGTGCTAACTCTGCTCCGTCTTGCTACATTTCGACAAAATATGATGAATTTGTGCCAGCATTGCGCCGAGGCGGAAGTTCGCCTAATGATTACTAAATATATAATAGCTGAGGCCCCACTACACGACCGGATCGTTTGGCGGGCTCGTGCGAATTTCCGCAGCGTTCGATTATCGCCTCAACCTACTAGATTTTATGTATGTGTCAAACACCGGCAATACTCGCAAGTGTCGCAATATTTCTTATGTTTGTGTTCTGTTCTGGTGGGTTAGTTGGCTTCGTTGAGTGCGCTTCTCGCCGTGCTTTGGTGCACTGTGCCGAAGCGAGACCCGCGCTGGATTGGATTCTTTTCCCTTTCCCTCTGTAGCGAATGATCACAGTCATCGCGACATTGCCTACCTTGCTTCGCCGCAGCACACCCGCGTGCTAAGTGGAATGCACTCCTCCATCAATGTATTATCTTTAAAGCGCTCCGAGCATATGTCGAAGGCACTGGCTTTCGAGGTAAACTTCAATCTGTGACGAAAACGCCGGTGTACTCCGGCGTTTTCTTCGTAGTCCCTAATGTGCCTGAAACTTCGATAAACATTCCAACAAACATTGCCGAAATAGTACCCTAAAATTGCGCCAAAATGAAACTTCTTGACGAGGTTATTGAATTTCCAATTTGAGTCCTCACCGTGTTTTTCAAAGTGAAAGTTTCTACTGTGAACAATGAAATAGTGACGCTAGGGGAAGGAAGGGTTTCGCTCTTTGGACTGTATACTTTGTTCCCAACTGATTGCAAGCAGTTTCATGATGTCGAATGAATGCTATAGTAGCTCGCTTCTGCACCCGCGTAGCAGCACGAAACAAATGCTCGGCAGTCTAATTCCCCCGACGTCACGCCACCTAAAAGCGCGGCTATATTGGAATGTTTGTTTCGGCATCATTTTCACTTCCCCATTTCAAAATAACTATTCTGAATTTTGCGATTCGAAATGGCATACCGGAAAGTGTAAAGGCCGGTGATTCCGAAATTATACTTCGTTAGGCTAGCTGAAAATATCGCCGGAGTTCTCATTCAATGCTAATTCACAAATCACCGAATATTTTTTTTCTTTACTTTGTGTAATTTAATGCAAAATTCGTGTCTCGAATGTCGCGTGCCAGCCTGTCTCCTTGAACAGGTAGCCACGCTTAATACGAAGCACAGATGCCCCGGTGACATATGGCGGAAGCAGGCGGAAGCTCTCGTTACGTAGCGTAAGCAAATAGTGATGTGTGAACCAGAATTTAGCTTTGAACGTAGGAACGCAATTCTGCATTAAAACGAGCAAGTTTGTATTGTCTTCGAAGTTCTGCACTCCATATTACAGAATCGCCTAAATGCGTATTTTTGTCGAAAGTCAGCACCTGGGCAGCGTGAGTTCTTGAGGGATTCATAACCCAAAGCAAGCAGGTGTGGATGTATCTTTGACGAAGCGTTTGACAAAGTGCACCACTGATTCTTTTTTTGATAGGGTACATATGTATGGTTGGTGTCCCAAGTATTGCAGCCTTTTTGAAGGTGTATAGTCCATACACCTTCATGCGGGAAAAGTTTGTATATGAGTGTGGCTTTACATCATTTCATTTATTGTTCCCCCTGGGCCCAAAGGCATTATTACAGAGGGGGAAAGCAAAAAAAGAAAAGAAACGTCTCCATAAAAAAAATTTAAATTACAGGTTAGCACAATGAGCTAGAATATGATTATTGATGGCAGTTCTAGAAAGCCCGAACTCCGTAATGGTGGAAATTGTCCAGGGAAGGTGGTTCGAGTCCCGGGATGCACGGGGAACGAAGGATGAATGAAATGTTGTCGTCATTTAACTTTGGACGTCGACCTTGTGGTGATGATCGAGACGAGAAGAAACATAAGCAGTGGGATTAATTGGTCGTATCGTATGGACTTACCAAAACTTTTCGGCGGAAAGAGAAGGGTGGCAATGACAGGATACTTTTTAATGCCGGTGACCCTTGCAGGGAAATGGTAGATCGTGAGAATAAACAAAATGTAAAATAAATGGAGTGTTCCCCGGTGCAGCAACCTTGGCTCTTTTCTTTATTTAAAACTGCTAATGACGTCCCCTTGGGTATATACGCTTTTATCTGCTGACGACCCAAATCTGCTTCGCGTGACAAGTGCTCTACCGAGACTACTGTTGGATTCAGATTTATGTGCGCGCTGTTTTTCAGCTGTACTTTTCCGCGTTTCTCCTCAGGATTCGATTTGACTTTCCGCACTTGTCATTTGGTTTCGGTTAAGTTCCGGTTTGACTTAATTTGTTTTTCAGCAATCGTACGTGCTCATAAGACCTAATTTTTCGCTGTCTATTCCGCCATATTGCAGTGTGTTGTAAGGAGCAGTAGCCCATCTTTTTAAGGGATCTGGGGAAACAAGAGTGCTCTCGAGTAACTCCGGGTCTTCCCTTACAGAGCCGGAAATCGAGTTCCCCGAGTTCCGCGCCGGTGATCTCCAGTTCCAGAACCTGCAGCCCATCAGGTACCACCTCGTCCGTGCGACGGAGCGCGAGATGCCCGCCTACTATGTAGACCGCCTTTCGCGCGACGATCCGCACGCACTTCGAAGCACGCCTTGAGTGATGTGGGTTTCGCCGCCCATTGTGTTTTCGGTGCCGCCAACGTTAAAGGGCCCCTGAAAAGGAGAACTTTCTGCCTTTCCATTCTGGTGAAGACGAAAGAGCAGCGAAGCTGTACTATGTGCAGTATATACAGCGCCAAAAAACGACATGATTGTCCTGTCGTTTTGTGGCGCTGTATATACTGATCATGAACCAACTAGCCCAAATTTCTACATTGCTGTACTATGTGCCGCCATCTATGATCGGCGGCGGCAAGCAGACAACCGGCAAGCCGCTTTGTCTGGTTGCCGCCGTCGCTCACAGATGGCGGTAGCTGTCCAGAGGGTTGTGTCGAGATTGATTTGTTCACGGACACGAAACTGGGGAAACTAGCCCTTAACAACACCGCTGTAAAAAAATAATAAAAAAATTTTTTTTTGTTTATTTAGGTTTTTTTTTTTTTTTAAGGCAGTGAAAGCAGAATGTTGTAAGTTTCACTCGGTGCACCTCTTGCAGTGATGTGATTGCTGCGCCGTTTGTTCAAAACTGCGTTAAAGGGCTTATCCTGCTACATCATGCTACATGTGGCCAAGATCTGGGAAAATGTGGCGCAAGCAATGCGCCAACAGTCGATTTTAATTTATTAATACGGAAAATATAATAGCGTTGGCCCCGCTACGCGTCCGAGTCCGTATGGTACGCTTGAGCGAACTTTCAGAACTTTCGATTATCGCCCCACGTAGCGTACTATTCGATTCGATGTCTCTGTCAAACACTGGCAGTACTCGCAATTTTCCCGATATCGAGTCATATTCGCAGTCTGCCCTGGCGGGTAACTTTGCTTTGTTGAGTGCGCTTTTTTCGCGCTCCCGTGTACATGCAGTGAGACGACAACTGCGAGGAAAGCATCTGAGTTTGCTCATCTTCAAAGCGCTCCTCAAGGCGGGATAAACTGAAAGGGAAACTGAAGCGGTTCTGTATTTGAGTAAAAACACTTGAATCGTCTTCATTTGGCCCCCAGGATCTCGAATATCGAGATTATTTTTTTCAATTTCGTGCACAGAGGCTCCAAAGAATCATTTTCAAAGTACCGCTGAAGCCCCTCCTCCCCGGAGCGTGACGTCATAAAAGGAGTTTTCGGAATCTCCACACTCGCGCATCTTGAGCGCCTATCAAAGATATGCACGCGCACTCGTTATTTTCAAATTGGTCAGAAAAATGCGTCACGACTGGTGTCAGTGCGGGGGAATATATACCTTGCAGGCTTGCAGTTGCACGCGCTGCCGACATAAGCGACACGCTCTTGGCGACCGAGATCCTGTTATGACGTAACGACTGGTCGGAGATTTTTCGTGTTTTCTCGCGTTTAGTTACATCTTCAGCGAAAAGGAACGTGATATTCAAATTCGCGGGATAAAAATACTCTAGAATTCATCCACGGTGTGAATTCACCTCTAACTCGTTTTTGTCAAGAACCCCTCCAGCTTCCCTTTAAACAGGCTGGCGTCGGGTATATTCAAAGCAAAAAAAAAGGGGGTAGAACTTGGTGAGTGCTAATATAACAACTCTACTTTGCAGTAAAAATTTTGGAATAAAACTGCTGGTAATTTTTATGATGGCTAGACTGGGATATTCTCGCGATATCCTTTTCAAATTTGAGATCTTGCGAGGGTGCTCTCAAGAAACTTTATGCGAACTGCTCTGTAGGGTTTCTTATTCTTAATTTCAACTATTTTTTTTTTTGTTACCACCTTTATCTAGGTTCGATGTGTTTGAGATACATTCAATAGATTGAACTAAAATTAATTTAATTGATGCAGTGATAGGAAGCTTGGGAATATGATAACTAGGTTGGCTGGATTATTTTTAAAAGTAATATTAATGAATCACGTGCCGATGTTTATTTGCATGAAGTTCTATGTATCAGATATAATTTAAGTTCACAGTCGAATGATATAATATATGTTTTGTTTTTGTATTTAGAATCAAGGATTTTAATTTATTACAACCTTTAGAAGTTGAATGAAACATCAATTTGTGCGCTCAAGATTACTATATTCCAACGTTATTTCGGAGGAATACACTATTTGGTTTACGTTTCATTTGATACCTAAAATAACCATTCATAGCAGCCTATATTGTCCTTCATCAGTCAGCATCTTGTTGCCATGGCTAGTGCTTCTATGTGCAACTAAACAGCTAGTACTGTGTTTGAGGGAATGAAACCTGCCGTGCAGTTAATGCTAACAAAACGTTTCAATCTAATGAGAAGGTAAAGTTGTCATGCCATTTAGTTGGCTAGGCCAACACACAGGTCTTAACATAGAACATTCGCAGTGGTATGAAAACAAATGAAATGTGTGATTATGCTTCAAAAGTACTTTTGGCTCCTCCGAAAGGTCGTCCAAAATAATTCGGGCCAATCACATCACTGCTCTTGTTTGGTTACGAAAAAGTCGAGGAAGAACGTGGCAGCGACCGCGTGGTTGAGTTTATGGAAAGCACCAATGGAGCGTTCTATTGATTGATCGACAACACGTTTATCGAAAGGCCCAGATGGAAAAAAGAGCGGGGATCATGTTCGCCGGCGGCGATGTATGGACGACGGCCAGGAAGGCTGAGATGTGTCACGGACATAGTTGAATAGGGTGCTGAGGATGGTTCTCTGTTCTGGTTGGGATCCCTTGGTAAGGCGCCAGGCAGACTTGTACACGTTACTGAAATATAGTAAGGAATTACATTTACAATTACTCGAGGCTAAATTGTAATTTATTACAATTACAATTACCCTCCCATAAAAGTAAGTGACCGTTACCCCGAAAAGTAATCCGTTACTTTCGTGGCGTTACTTTTAACATTTTTGTCCTCAAGTAAGAAACAAATGGAAGAGGGTTATACAAGCTCTTATTGTTGCAACCTGTTCCATTGAATGACCTTGAGTATTTGGAGCAACAGCTGTCTCTCGAAAGTCTCGTCAGACATTTTGCGTTATTTCTTACTCAAGATGTCGACTTCTACGCTTAACACCATTTTAACTGAGGCACTGGATGGGAGCGCCATATTGTTCCTCACGAATGCTTCATGCTCTGCATTGAGCTATTTCAGCGAATCAAGGGAAGTACTATTTACCTCAAATGTAGAGCAAAGCTTCGGCGTTGCAGCCGTTGCCTGCTATTCGAGAGATTAAGTCGATCCTTCCGGTACCTCCGATACCCGCGATAACGGTACCCGATGACGATATGATGCATGCGCAAAGACGGCGGCGAAGAATCGGGTATCGTTATGGGAGTCATCGGACCGATATACTAAAATTCTCCATTGTCTAAATCGCGAAGCTGTGGAAGTCATCAATAGCAAAACATAGTTGTAACAATAAGGTGATAATTAAATAATAAGTAAGGTTTGGCTCGATATTCTTCTTCCTTTGGTTCTGAACAGTTCGACCCTCACTTGAGACATTGGTGAATAAAAAAGAGTTTCTAGTATATAAATATAAGTAATAAAAGAAAGAGAAGGACAACCATAACAACAATTAATTAGAACGTCGGATAAAACAAGGAAATACAATTAAACGCACGTTTGCCGTGTGTACCTTTCTTGGTGTTCAAAAACGCACGGAGCACGAACCGACTGCAGTTTACTCCGGTGTTCTTCAGATAGACGTCCGCTGATACCACGGGCAGCATAGGGTAGAGTACTAAGTAAGCCCGGCGCTATGGCCCCTCGCGAATTTCACTCTCTCCTCAAGCCCAGAATATCAAGTCTACGTCAGCCACCATTATATTTTATTTGTAAAAAATATATGCTTGAGATAAGATGCGTCCTGTTGGGGTAAAAACAGAAAGAGGAGGAAAGGAAGACTATTAGCATTTTCTAAGTGCTCGCAAAAAGCTGACTCACGAAAAGGGTAGGGTAGACGGAGCGTTGTCTCGTGTTGTGACATTATGAAAATTGTTGTAGTCACTATAACCGAGAAGGCCATTGTTAATTCTTTTCAGTGCACTTACCGCCTCGAGCTTCTCGAAGAGGCATACATGTCGCTTGGTGTTCTCCTCTCCCCGTCTTCGACCGCAAAAAAATAAAAAAAAAAAATAAAAGAGAAATAAAGGGACTATAAAAAACGGAAATAACGTGCCCCCAGTACCCCAACTCCCCTTTTTTTTTTGTAGAAATGTTCATTGGTATTTTTGACATTGTTGTTAGGGTTTAAAAAATAGATTCAGGTGTTGCAAAAAAAGGCTTTGCGGAACTGAAGAGTGCCAGCCTCCCTCTGCGCTGGTCAGTTCGCGTGAGTGTCATTGTGCTCGAATTTACAAAAAAAAGAAAAAAAAAATACTTTATTTAGATGAAGGGGGCGGTCGGTTCTGACAAAAAAATGTAACGGATTACAAGGAATCCGTTACGTCAAAAATGTAAGGGAATTACTTTAAAATTACTCTAGAAAATATGTAATTATTCCGTTACTAAATTCCTGATAAATGTAAGGGATTACAAGTAATTTCGTTACTTTTAACGGATTACGTACAAGTCTGGCGCCAGGCTTCTCTGTCGTCCAGAGCGTCGTACGTCGGAAGCAGCTCTGAAAGCCAATTGCACCCGCTGCCGTTATTCTGCGAGTACCAGGAAATAGCCACCTGCAGGAACCGGTGGCGACATAAAATCACGCGTCCACAGTGTCGACGGAAAGATCACAGAGCACGAGCTCGAGATATGTGACCGATCAATGGGCCCCACAAGAGCCTGACGTCGGACTCTGTATGAGGCCTTCACCTTACGAGGGGCTCAGAAAAAGACATAATGCTGGGACGTTGATTTCTGCGAAGATAAGCGAGATTGATTATATGGTGAAAGGAGCCACGCCTTAATTGGTGCCACAGATGAGGCATTTGCGATATCAGAAGGCAATTCGTTCCAGTCTTCGGGGAGACTGGAAAGATACCCCCCCAGGTCACGTAACGTGGGGGGGTATCACGTGACCCCAGAGAAAGTTTTCCGCTAGATTTAGCGGGATCATTTTTAATGATGACTTTAACCAGTCTCGGGTTAAATTCATCATGGTTCACCAGCTCGCCCGCGCATTGACCGCTTTTTCGCGGATTTATTACGCTACGAAAACGAGAGATGGTCATAAAAGACAATGCGGACGACACGGGCTTTCAATTTGCAACAAAAAAGTTTAGTCGCAGTTTAGAAGACTTCGTCGTCCCCGTTGTCTTCTGTGTTCCTGTTTTGTTTTCGTAATTTAGACACGAACACGCTCAGCCATCTACGGTGCATTTATTAGGCTCACCTACTTTTTGCTCGGCACCTCCGCTTAGTTGCGCTGGCCGGAGGTTGAACACCGAGCGGCAGGGCTAAGTAGCATCGGAAGAGAAACGTACAATTTCAGCCAATGGTCGCTTTTGAACACGGCACCGGAGAATCGTGTCTGGCAGAGATGCCCCCGGTTCCCGTTTGACAGTCCCTTTCAGCTGCACTGTTCATACAAAAGACACGCTAAGCGCTGGAGACATCATGAGAGAACTATCTGCGCACCCGCCTCACGCATCTTCCAAGCATGTTTGCTTCGAACTCGTCTCTTTGTATGACCATAGCCTTCTATAGACGAACAAAGCCTGGCAGATCGCCACGAGAAGCACCCGCCGAAATGAAAAAGGTGGAGCGGCAGACGACAGATGAGAGGAGAACCACGTGACTGGCGCCCCGCTGCGGCGAGACGCCGAAACACACTTCTCCCAAGAGAACAAGTGTGTTTCGGGTCCTCGCCGCTCCAAAAGCTGTGCGCTGACGTCCATGTTCCCCGAGAAATGGCTCTTTGATGCTCTGTGCTACCATATCCTCGCGCTCCGAATCTTCGACCAGGCACTCTATGGCTCCGTCGTCGAACTGCCAGGCTTCGAGAGTATAGAAGTTATGGTAAGACCAATATGATACAAGGAAGGACAATGTCTGTATACTGTCTTTTGTACGATGGATTAGCGATGCATCCGCGGCTTTGACGTTCTTGGGGCTCCGAGAGCCCTCTCCGGCTCTCAAGACCTGTTTCGCTTACACCGTAAAACGGGTCCGTTGTTTTTCTTACGAACCCGTCGAGTGATCCACGCCTAAATACGCTTACGGGTTTCGTAATACTTTCGAAATACTTTCCGGTTACCAGATAGGTTGCGAAATGCTGGTTTCCTGAAGAACATTTTCGCGAATGAGGCGTCTACGAAGCGCCGTATCTTGTCACGTCCTTTATTTTTTTCTTTCGTCGGAATGCTGACTGTTCGTTATTTTTTCTCTGGTGTCTTCAAAGTAGGTTGCCGATTGCGCCAAAGAGAGAGCCCATCGAGGACATCACCTTGGAGCCCGAAGTGAACATCTGCTACGACAACGAGAAGTGAGTGTGGTATTCGAGTCGGGGATTTTCAGAGTTGGAAATCGACCGCTTAATTGTGACAGTTTTCTTAAAAGGGCCGTGCAACGATATTCGCTCGGAATGTTCTTCACTTTAAACGAACTTACTGGCATTAGTGGCACCCAACTATACTCGCACGCCATGCCACTGACGAAGATACTCCGTTGCAGTGTAATTTCAATGACAAAAGCGAGCGGTTTCTTTTAATCTCTCTTTCGCAAAACTTGATGACGTAGATCGGGGTCGCTCGCTTCGAGCATTGCGCGAGCACTCGATTTTGGCTCCTGATGATCATTAACTCGACAAGCATTCGGGTAGACGTGGCCCGTGTCCAGTCACTGCAGTGACGACAATAGCCGAACCATAACAATGTCTGGAACTCCACGCTTGTCGTGCCTGGTCAACCCCAGCGCATTGCTATAATCAACATTGGCGGCATAGAATCGGCTCCGAATCACGTGGCCGCTTGTTCTGGCTTCGAGTTGAGGGCGCGAACGCTGCTCTTTTTTTTTAATTTTAAGGGTCGACTTCTATAGCGTGTGGTGACAAACGAACGCTTGGTACATAGGTCATCAACGTCGGGGATTTGTTCTAAGCGGTATTTGCGCAAAGTACAGAAATCGTGGCATCGCCCTTTTAAGATATTCGACCACCCGTCAAGCTGGTGTCACATTTTGCGGTGGTTGCCTTGAAAACTGCCCACGACGTGCAGTCGAGCGGACTTTAAACGGATAAATGGTTCGAATGCAGGCGAGCATACGTTTTCCTTTGTCCTTTTTTAGTGCCGCAGTCTTTGACTCGATAAGTCGGACTTGAGTTGCTTTACGGGCGTTGGAAGAGCTTGGGCAGCAGCGAGCGTGCCTTGTATTCCCTCGACCCGCTGCAAGCGGAGCTGAAGCTCGGGAGGCAGATATTTGGGCAGACACTCGCGGCGTCCCGGCGTGCTAGCGTCTTGCTTGTCGTGAGACGCTGCAAGCTGTTCTGGGACGCTGCAAGCTGGTGGAGACGCTGTCGCGAGCCACGCGGCGCTGTGCATTATTGGTGACCTTTAAACAAGGTGGGGGGGGGGGGGGGGGGGGAGCGAGGCCGCTTGTGTGTAATTGGGATGAGCGCTGAGGCGTCCGTGTGCACTGCAGGGGCGCCAAGAGGAAGTGCCGGGAGGAGGGCGACGAAGAGTGTGAGCCGGACTCCCGGAAGAAGCGTAAAGACGAGGAGCTGGACCTCCTGCGGAGGATCCTCAAGGGGGAGGAGGACACGCTGGAGCTAGAGAAGAAGCGGGCGCTGGAAGAGGCCGACATTCTCAAGGCCACCATGGGCTTCCTGGAGGCGGCCACGGGCTTCATGCAGCAGCAGCAGCACCTTCAGCAGCGCTCCGACCGACCGCAGCAGTCTCAGCAGACGTCGACGCCGAGGCCGCAGGCGTCCTCCAACGCGTACTGCAACGGCGGCCTGCCCGTGGTCGGGGCGCCGCTCTACACCACGCAGCCTTCCTTCTACTCTTCGTCGCCCGTCGACTCGCCGGGCAAGTCGGATCCGTGAGCCTGAACCCAGGAGGCGCCGTCTCCCGGCGGTCCGATGCAAGCGATGGCGGTGGCCAGGACTCGCCTGCCGCATGGAGCGATCACCGCCTCGGGCGCCGTGGTAGTGAGAGCTACGCCTGACTCTGCGGGTGCAACGCCGCGATCCTGGGGTGAACAGAGCGGACCAGGCGCTCGCCCGGAGTCGGGTGGCGCGCCGCGGTCGACTGGGCCGTGAGCAGGTCCACGTCACGCCGGGAAAGCTTTCCTCGGGGCAGTCTGTGGCGCGAGTGGTTGGGCTGCTACTTCCCCACGGCTCGGCCCGCCACCACCACTCTAGCAGTTTACAATAGCAGGTGGAAGGGACTCCCTTTGGGCACCGGCATCCAGATCCTCCGTGTCTGTGCCGGTCGTCGGTCGTGCGGTTAGCTCACCGGCAAGACGTTGTTCCTGGAGCGAGACTGCGGACTTTGTCGTTCCAAGCGAGATTCCTCCGAAGCTGATGCGGTCAGTGCACGGTGTGTGAGCCACGGCCGAGCCGAAAGCGGACTCCGAACGTCATTTTTAAAACATCCTCGCATCCGGTTTTATTGCTTCTAGATGGGTATATTTATATTAGAGCCCCAACCTTCGGGAGTGAGCCCCCCGGGGTGAGGACCCGGACGACGACGACTCGCCCGTGGGACGATGGCGACGCGAGCGGCCGTGTCCGACGCCCGTTCTTCCCCCGAGACACGGAGGCTCGCAGCAAATACTTAAGAATACCTTCGTGCGTCCGTTCGGCCGAGTGTAGTCGATGCTTTTCGTTCTTCTTCAAGAGCCTTGTCATAATTATAAGTACGAGCTTCGCATTGTTGCAATTGTTGTTGTGCTGGCCTGTCTGAGCTCGAAGTGGAGCAGGTGCTGTCTATAAGGGAGCGGGGCGCTAAAGGGACACTGAAGCGGATTGGTAGTGCGCAGTCGACGCTGGGCGCTCGTTAATGGTAGGCCCCCTGAGCTGCTGGCACGCATCTGAGAAGGGCTTCACGAAGGCACCGGACCGAGAAAAGGGACCCGATAGCGATGGCGATTCTCCCCGACAATGAAAGTGGGCGGAAAGAGGTGCTGGTGACGCGGTCGCAGGGGGACCCTGGAGATTTGAGACTCGCGTTCTCCGCTCCAATGCCGCGGGAAGAACGGTTACAACGATCGCTCGCCGAAGGAAGGCCGTTCCACATAAAACAATTTGCGGGAAAAAAATACAATCGCTGCGATTTGCAGTTGCGTGCGACAGAAAGTCCGTCGACAGTCTCTTTTTTGACCGCACGAGCGACGTTGACAATTTTAATCGTGAGTGCCTGGAATCGCATTGAGATTGGACACGAATCACACCTTGTGATGCCTGATTCACCGATTTTACTCGCGAGTTGGCAGTAGCGACGTCACTAAGCGACAAACAAAGCGTGGCGCAAGCCGCAGTGATTGACGTTGCAGCTGCGGAATCTCACAAAAAATTGCACCTTGCGAATCAGGCTTGAGACGGCCTTAATAAAGAAAACGAGACGGGCCTTCTGTTTCTTTCGAAATTTTGGGGTTTCTAATGATCTTTCCTGGCCCAAGAAAATCGTTTAAAACTCCCTACATATCCTAGCCACCCGACCCTCCTACCATTGTTAAATGCGTTACTGATGAACAGCTAGACAGTGTGTTCAGTGTCCCTTTAGGCTGCGGAGGAGCCGCGCGCTCCACGGCCGCCTTGGCCCGCTTGTCGCAGGGCTGCGGGCCGAAGGAGACGCGCCGGGCCTCCGAGGCTCCCGAAGTTCGGAGACCCCGACAGTATGTTTCCCAGCTTCCGAAATTCTGCTGTTCCGAGGAACGTTCTGCCCGCCAACTCCTCTCGCACGACGCGCGGCCGCGCACGTTTAGTGTACCGCTTGTTTTATGCTTCCGGTAAGTAAACGAAGTTCTCTTTGCAACTGTGTCGCTGTTGTTGGGGCCCCGATGAAGCGCCACGAGAGCCGGAGGACCGTCGCTCGGAGCAGTAGCGACAAAAGCTTAATAAAAGCAGGGCGTGGCAGACCTTTTGCGAAAATCCCTAAAACCCGAGCGACGAATTGCAGAAGTCCTCGATACGCTCGTCCGTAGCCTCCTATATACTGACAGCCTCGCAGATCGCCACGAGAAGTGGCCACCGATATGGAAAAGGTGGAGCGGCAGGCAACGGATGAGAGGGGAGCCACGTGACTGGCGCCCCGCTGCGGCGAGACGCCGAAAAACACTTCTCCCGAGCGAACAAGCGTGTTTCGGGTCCTCGCCGGTGCAAACGCCGTCCGCTGACGTCCAGGTTCCCCGAGAAATGGCTCATTTATTCTCTGTGCTACCAGATCCTCGCCCTCCAAATCTGCGACCGCGGGCACTCTATGGCTCTGTCGTCGAACTGTCAGGCTTTGTGAGTACAGAGGAGGCTATGGCTCCTCCCATGGTCTTTCCTCCCGCAACTACGTGACATACACGGGCGGGTGCAGGCTACCAAGGCAACACCGCTCGGGCAGCCGAGTCAGGCAAGCAAATGAAAATGGGGGAGGGGGCATCGCGTCGACCGGCTGGCGAGGCTGGCCCTTTGTCAACCTTTGCATCGTCGCCGTGGTCTCTGGTGGCTGCGACGGCTGCTGGCGGTAGCTGTCGCGAGCCACGCGCAGTTGCGAAAAGGAGCGACGAGAAAGCGCGTGATTTGTACCTTGGGTTCCCAAAATGCCGTCGTGGCGGTGCACGCGTTGCAACAGGTGGGACCCAATCTGGTTGGCTGCTGGGTGATGCTGCTCGCGGGGCTGCCTTTCTTTCCGCTACTGACGTTCGAGCGCTTTCGTGCGAGCTGGAGTGGGTCCCCGTGGACCACAACTGGTGCGATTTCGGCGTTCCTATTTTGTTCCCTCCATGGGTGACGTCGCAATTGCGCACCGATACAAGCTGTGCCTATTTTTTCCCCAGTCTCCTTCCGTCGTGCGCTTGACGGGAAATAAACGGGCCGCAGCCTTGGCGGCTACACAGCCGCGGAGGTGGCTGCAGCGGACGCAGCTGCTCTGGCTGGAACCGCGGCCAGGCGATGGAAGCTCCGAAGAACGAGACGCCGGTGAGAGCGACGCTCCCCTCGTCGTTTTCCGCCGGCGGTTCTACGACTTACCAGCGCCAGGATCGCGACAGCATAACACGTCTCCGAGGAGAAGACGAGAGCCCGAGGGGACGTCCGAACACCGGGCTCTGGTCGGAATGATGAGTCGACGCAAATGTCCCTGCCATGGTGTGAGATATATATATACTATAGGTGAGGACACATTGCAGAACTCTGGGGCGTTATCGACGCGATAAAGTCCTATTGGAGCTCGCCGGAGTAGCCTCAGCCGACAATGTATCCGCCGTTCAGTCTGCGTAACTGAGGAAAGAAATAAAACAAAGAAGTATCCTTGCTATGGCACCCGGGCACGCGCTCTTTCCACTCGGCGCGTCTGCTCTGAGCTTGACGCCTTCGCAGACTGGCTATAAAACACCGCGCCAGAGATTTCTCTTCTCCATCGCGTTCACACAGGGTATTTCCGCCTTCGAGGCACGAAACTAGGGTTCGAAGAGTGAGTAAAGCCGAAGGCAGTTTTGGCTTCTACCCTCAAATGACTCCAACCAGACCTCGGTGTTCTGCCCTGCCATCCTCCTTGACTCGACCAACTTCTGCCCGGATAGTCACTGAAAAGATGAGAACGGCAGGCAGGAGCTTCGGTTCTCCCGCCCCCAGGTTCCTATCTTGAACATTTCGTTTCGGCATCTCGTGGACCTCGAGCGCGCGCGCGCAAAGCACAGTCCGGACTTTGGTGCAGCGGAAGGCGTGCGCGCGTGCTGGAGGTCGGGCTGTTCAATGACACGCCTCGATGTTCTCACTCTGTCAGTGACTCTATAATTAGTCCCGAGCGGGACCGATTGTAGCTCTGTGATCGCTCGATGGTGACGTAGGGACAAGGATCACGTGACGACGAGTCCAGGTATTTTCTTCGGCTTGCTTTGCTTCGGTTGTGTGATATAAACTGAAGCTGAAGCACTTTCAGAAGAAAAAAAACTGAGTTAAGTGGGTCTTTAGATTTTTGGTCCCCTGAAATCGAATATCGCACTGAAGTTGGGATTATACTAAAGCAAAACGTTTGTATCTAAAAAAAAAAAAAGAACAAAAAAACTGACAGTACTGGTGCAGGTTATCTCGCGAATCTCGCTGCCGCACGCGATTGGTCAAAGGCGTTGTGACGTCATCGTCGGTATCCCGGAGTCAACTGAGCCAGTTCACCACCGCTTAGAAGACAAGGCCGTATAGTGCTGACATATTTACGTCACCAGCGAAGGCGAACGCTGGACACAGATTGGAAACGAGTGCTGCGTCGTCGCTCGGCTTCGAGTCAATGTTAAGCCGGACGTTGACGCAATCGTCGTGTCAATCTGTGACCAGCGTTGGCCTTAGCTGATCACGACATCTCTATCCGCACTACTAGTTCGTTATCTAGGAGGTATTGGCCAGTTTCAAGGCGGTGATATCGTAAAGCGGAGACTGGTGGTACCAGAGTGGTCTCGTGTAGAAGTTTCCATAACTTTTCTGTAGTGGTAACAAAGTAAACACAGTTCCCGAAAGATCGCGCGAGGAAACTGGCCTAGCCAGCACTGTTCAATCCTAACTGCCCTGGTGCAGGCAGAACACGGTTTCGAGTGTGTTGTAACAGCTGTGTGCGTATACTTTTGTTCGTCGAACGGTTTAGCAGTTTCAACTATTCGTGGGAGCTCGGTGTAGCTCTCCATACGTCTTCAAACCGCGAGCATCCCGAAGAGGCACCCGGAACTTGGAAAGCTCGGTCAACAGTGAGGGCTTGGCGTCCGCTGCAAGCGAAATGTCAACATTTCGCCGCGTTGGAAAGCAGGTACGTAGGGGTATCTTGCAAAGGTGCTTGTTTTTATTACTGGCCAGCTGGACAAATAAATAATCTATGAAATCCCATGCGGAAGCAAAGACGCAAACGTCGTCATTTGCCCCCTTGCCCCTCGTTGGAACGGTAACATCTCCACCACTTCGCGCAAATCATGCGAGCGTGAAAAACAACAAAAAAAAAAAATCGCATGCCATTCGTGATTTTATGGTAATGCAACACCCGTCTTGAATCTCTCATTGCCAGATCATTTCGTTCCTAGTTTTGCAACGATTTCATTGTAAACATGCCTCCTTTATATGCTCCGTATACCAATAGAAATGGAAGGTTTGCAGTTGCAAATAATAATTGGGTTGTGTGTGTGTTTATACAGCCTAGAACTTGGTCTGCCTCGGAGGGGCGACGAGTCTCCCAGCTGTAGATGAGAAATTTAGCCAGTGCGGTACAGCCGCTAGCCTGGGGTCTTTAACGTGCATCACGCAGTAGTGATACACGAACGCACGCCGGTACGATGCTCATCCAGATCGAAACGGGCAGGGGTGGGGCTCGAACCCAGGATCCCTGGGTTCTGCAGCGCGAGCTTTCGCTCCACGTGCTCCGAGCTGGTGTGCGCTAGACCACTCGGCCACCGATCCCCCGTTTGCAGTTGCCACAAACACAATGAGAGTGTTCGAAATTGAAGGATGATCCTCTGAATAAAGGACTACAAAAAATGGCACCTTCAGATCAAGACGGCAGCTTATGAGGGGAAGAAGCAAAGATTCTACAGGCAGGTGAGAGAGTTGATGTAGCTTGGGAGGAGAGGTGCACACAATAACGCATGTAACTTTCACAGGCTAGGCGACTGATATGCTGTATACTGCCGATTTACTTGTCTAACTTGGAAAATAACGGCAAACAGGCATCCTGTGAGGTTGTGGCCTCGATGCCAACTGAAAAGGAATCTCCATCACAAAATAGAGTGTTTCAGCCATTCAGATACTTTCAGGTTTTCTTCAAGTACAGACCTAAAGTGGTACAACAGTTTACTTCAAATTTATTATCAAAGCACCATCATAAAATTGGTCACTGATTAGATGTTATCATGTACAGTCGTCATCAAAACGATCTGGCACGTCGTAACGCTGGCCGGAGCGGCAAAAATCCCTCGTGTGTCGCTAATGTAGCGATACGGCGCTAAGAGCGAGGCGGGAACGATCTGCCGCGATTTCATGCATGGGTTAAGTTGGTAGAAATGATGAGTCGCGCATCTACGCTTCTCGTTGCGTGGCCGGATCTTAGTATTAATGCATCATAGCGACATTCATGTTTGTTTGTTTTGTTTTTTGTTTTGCTTTTACGATTAGTTTTTGTTGATTCGTTGAACACCTGTCCATACAGCTTATCGTTACTACCGACTTCCCCCGTGCATAAAATCGCAGCAGTTCGTTTCAGTCTCGCTCTCAACGGCTTATCGCGACAGAGGCTCCCCATGCGGGATTTTTGCAACTCTGGCCGTCGCTTCGTCGAGCCAGCTCATTTTTATGCTGACTGTATCGATGGCAGCATGAAATATTGAGCATGATGTGACGCATTCACATATGTAAAATATAAACGCAGCACACATAAGTCCTTGCTATTGCAGGGCTGGTAACATGCAGTAATCGAGTACAGTCTCTCGAAATATGAAGACTTACTCGGAGATGGATGCCGAGACACTCAGTGACGAGGACACGACGCGTTGGGGACAGTTTCGTGTTGTTCCGAGGAGAGTGAAACTAATACAGCCGATTTGGGTCTGTCGGCACTGGCGGAGCACATCCCCTCCCTTTATACCGACATGAAACTGCCCTGAGGAATTTCATAACTTTTTGTGCTCTTTAACATGACTGAGAAACTTTAACTGCTTGCATGCATCAAATTTTGTGAAACAATTGGGACGAAGAAACCCAAAAACTGCCGCAGTAAGTATTTGGTGACTGTGCTATAGGAAAAGCACAAACGGCGTTCGCTCTGCTGAAACGTGAGCGTTGCGGCTCTGGAGC